TTCAAAAGAGTCCATATTCGGAGAACATAAGGCGGAGCCCCTCTTAACAAGATGAGGCCAGGAGGTCTCCTTGGATCTTTCTCTGCCAGCACGTCTGGGAAAGCAAAAAAGGTAAGAGTACAGCCTAGTCCACAAGGAAAAACAACACATATCAGGGGTCTATTGGGCTGGAATCCAGGGTCAGCCATTCAGTAGTATTTCCAGGGGCTGGACAATCTCACCATGGTGCCGTCACGCTTCCTGGTAGCCACTGAGTAGCTGTGATTTGGTTGGCCAGCCTTAACGACTACTACCCAGTCCTTGTAAATAGCCCAGCCCCTGCTCCACTCTTGCTTTATGTCCTGGAACCAGATTCAAACATATATCAAGACTGGGCCCCCTTAAATTCCTGGGAACATGCATATAGTCCCATATTGGATAATTCTCCTACTGGGCTCTGGATTCCTCAACAATGTACATGCCCCCACTCCAAAGCCACACTCTTTTGCACTTCTCTCTGGAGTCTGAAGAAATGGGGGAGATGCTTTTTATTTCCCAGTCCTGGATGCATGAGTGAGGGGACCAAAGGATCCATTACTGTAAAGTAAGGTTCTCGGCCCTGGTCCTAGGCCAAGGTGAGGAGAACTTTGGTGAGACCTGAGTGGGTATCCTAACAGGCTCTGACTTGCAAGAACGTCCAGCCGAATCTGGTGAAAGAGAATCTCCTGACGCTCCTGTCAGTGAGTCCATGTCTTCTGTAGTGTCCCCCCAGTCCCATTCCTCCTCTATGTCTTCCCGGGGACCAGCCCTCCTGCTCGATCTCTAGAGGCCCAAATTCAGCTTACCGATAAACCTCCCCATCACTGACACTCCACTGGCTCACCTGAGGACTGGGCATTCTTGCAGCTAGGCTCCTTCCAAGCAGAATAGTCAGGGCTGATGGGCGAGGCCAGCTGGTCCGGGTCATCTGCTGGCTCTTTTAGGGCAGACCTTGTTGTCACCAGCTCTCCAGCAGCATCTTTGACTGGATAATGGGTAATGGCAGGCAGCCTTCCTCTGCTACAAGGATCCACCATAGGTTCAGGGGAATTTTGGTCCCAGGACTCAACCCAGCTTGGTGTCTCAGACTTTGAACACCTTCCAGCTCTCCAGCTATGACTCTCCACCTTCTCTGTACATAGCCCTGTTTGCAGGTACACTGTAGATGTGTTGTAGCTGCATCCTGGCAGTAGCACTTAAGCAGTCCGCTTGCAAGGACAAAACACCTTGTGCCAGTCATCATTGGACAAATGGGTGTCAACAGCAGTTGTGAAGATGATGGTCTACAGCGGTTGCTACAGACAATAGCGAGGCACGGGTCAACCCCCCCACCCCCCTCCATCCCCCGCTGAATGTTGTTGTAAAATTAAAGTCACTGGGCTCAATTGACACAAAGCAGCTGAGCATTTGTAGTCTACTAAGTTGCAGGCCATTCCGGTTGCTCCGGGCAATGGCAAGCACAAACACGTGGCAAACACTGACTGTAGCAGGCATACAATTTAGCATTAGAACAGAGTCTTTGTTGCAGCCACCTGTAGAGCAGCAAAAAGACTGGTAGGCACTGATGAGCCACTCCAGTTACTCAGGGCAATGGCAAGCATGACAGCAATGGCAGTAGGCCCCTCACGGACATTAGCAAGCAAATACATTTGTTAGAGGCCACCTGTGGGGCAGTGTAAAGACTTTTTGATTGTCCTGGCATGGTTGCAAATAGCGACAGTTCTTTAACACACAGCAGCAATCACATTTACAGCGACACAGCAAAGCTCAGCTGTTCCACCATTTTCTTTTCTTCCCTTATAGAACCCTGCATTCAATATATCAGGTCTCCCACAATACACAGAACATGGAAATGCAATTATTTTAGTAAATATAAACTGCCAGATACCTTTTTTCATCAGTAGTTACAGCAGTCATATGACTTCTATCATCGTCCCTGCAGAGCACTGATTAAAGTATTTAGGAGGAGTTTTCTTTCTCCCTGATTGTCCTATGAGGCTGCAGGACCCCTGACCCTCTGTCTGGACACTCTCCTAAGACAAAAAAACTCTCTAGCAATACACACCAAACTGAGAATGTTTAGCTTGCCTCAAGGCTCTGTTCATTTAGGAGATGGATTGGGGAGAGAAGAAGGGGAGGATCAGAGAAGACAGGATCAAACATCCTTTTTACACAATGCAGAGGATTACCCCTTAGGTTCCACAGTGAGTATAACAAGCAGGCTTTACTGCATATACAGACAGATTTTACCATTGTGGGTTTAGTAACACGTGTTGCTAATCCTGCCATTAAAGTGTAACTAGAGGCAGTACATTTTTGTTTCGGCCATCTGTGTTCCATAAGGGAGATCTCCCTTGACTTCCTATCCCATAGCTAAAACAGGAAGGGAGAAGAAATCCCTCAAAAGTGAGGGAATCCTAGGGTGTCACCAGGATCTCCAGAACTAGGATTCCTATTGAAAACTTTCACTTCTATTGCATTTTTAACAAACTTCCTGTACTAGTGTGGCAACCAAACTGAATAGTGTTGTTAGTTAGCAAAAGGAATGTGTGAGGACTACATAACACCTCTGTCTCTATTCCAAAACAGAAGGAGGTGTTTTCTAGCTCACAGGAAATGAAACTAAATAGTTTTCCGCCTAAGCACTCTTTATTGACTGCTCTACAACTTGTGTATTCATCAGTGATGCTGACATCTAGTGGTAATCCAGTGTAAATACAACTTGTAATGTACTGTATGCAAAATGGTAGAATCCAGTTTACCTGCATGTTTGCATTAGTTGGCTGAGTTCTTATCTATCTTCTTCTTGATCCCTCTGTTAGTTTCCAGCCTTCATAGTGGGTACAAGGTGTAGAAGAACATTGTCTGTTTTCACTTTGCTCTAACCAGCTAACATTCACGTATTGCATTTTGACAAGTAAAACTATGATGGATTAGACTGCCATGTCTTATTGGGGAGCCGTGCTGTCTGTAGAAGGAACCTATTTAGTAGGTGATCATATTGGCCAGATGGACCAAGGTCTAAAGGAGGTATGTCAGTGCATAAAGTGGTGCTTGAAAACAAGTATTGCCTCTTTCTCAGTTATTGCTTACACTCTTAACCACAGTTATAGTGCAATGCAAGTCAAAACCATTCTCTGAAATCATTCAAAGCTGAGAAGCCAGGATGAAGGAATCTTCCCTACTAGCTATTATTTTGAGCAATAAGGATGAGCTTGTTAAATGTTCTAGCCAAGAACATTCTGGCAGAAGGAAAAAGCAGAGTCTGCTGCTTCTCCTTTCACTATCCAGTCACAGGCTGGAGGAGGAGGTCAGACCATCAAGTGTTGCTTAAAGTGGTACTAAAGACAATATAAAAAATGTCATATATGATGCAGTATGTCAGAACACTAGTCTATGTCCTCTCTATAACATTGATTCTGCTGTTATTGATCAACTTCCTTCAACAGATCAAATTGTGCAGCAAAAGCAGCAATTAGAGGGTTGAAACAAACCATTTAACACTGGCAGGGGTGCTTCCAATGATCAGCTTTTATTTATTTTATTTAAAACTTTTACCCCAAAAGGAAAAAAAAAAACAGTTCTCTGTAACTGCTTAAAAAGTGTAAGCTAGGGTTCTGCTTTAATCTGTTAGTCATCTATGTAAAATCCAAATAAATCTACTAGTCTATTTAACACTACTGTAGCCCTCTTTTGGGTGAGGGTATGAGAAATGACCCTTCCTAAACAAGATATTGGGTATAGTGTGAAAAAGAGAACCAGAACCTTTGCTAAGTAGAAGAGTTCGTTTGATGATAAGGTTTGCAGTGCCTCCACCCAGAACAGGGCCTCTGGGGACAGAGAGGTTTCCCTTACTGGAAAATTAATCAGTACTCTATTCAGAGTAATTGAGAGCACAGGAACTACTGCAATCGGCACAGGGGCAGCACAGTGGCTAATTGGTTAGCACTTCCGCCTGGGTCATTGGTTCAAATCCCAGCCACGGCACCACCTGCCTGGAGTTTGCATGTTTTCCCTGTGCCTGTGTGGGTTTCCTTCGGTTTCCTCCCACATTCCAAAGACATGCTGGTAGGTTAATTAGCTCCTGTCTAAATTGCCCCTAGTATGTGTATGTATGAATGTGAGTTAGGGACCTTAGATTATACACCCCTTGAGAGTTAGGGACTGATGTGAATGTACAATATATGTGTAAAGCACTGCGTAAAATTGACGGTGCTATATAAGTACCTACAATAAATAAATAAAATAAAACCATAAGTAAATAGATGCACACCAGTATTAAAATAAAACAAGCTTTATATAAGAAAAAAAATAATAATAGTATATTCATCCAATGTACAAACAGGTACTATCAGCAAAGGATCTTATAGGAGTCTTGCTGGACTTGTGCATATATACCAAGGTATATATATTTAATAATAGAGATGAATGTTGCAGCAAAGTTCAGTTGCAGAGGTCCCTGAGGATGATCACAATGCAGAGTCCATCTTTGTGTCGGAGACATAATAGTCCCTTGTGGCTTGGGGTTTAGCAGAATGGACAAGACATGTGGCTGAGACTCTCCACTTCCTCCTTCTGGGATTTCAAATCCAACAACGCAGGGACAGGAAGTGCATACATAATATATTTACAGGAATTTCCAAATTCAGACAGTAGAGGGCAGCAGATCCCTACACCTCCCTCTCCAGACAATGCTTTTATCAAAGGGTGTCTCAATAGAGGGAACCTAATACAAGAAGTATGGTACTGGTACCACCCTAATAGAAGAAGTATGGTACTTTCACCAGATGATCAACAAAAATAGAAAACTAATGCAGCCATGAATTGGTATTGTGGCTTACCAATCTAAGACTTCTAAACTGCAACATATTGTATTTTTTTTTTTAGATACATTTTATATACAAGTTCATTTGATTTTAAAAGCCATTTTTAATATTTTCAAAACTGCAGCTTTCATTAAAATATTACCTGAAAATGTCTGACATGAAGTTTAACCTCCTTGGCGGTATTCCCGAGTGTAGCTTGGGGTAAAATTTCAGTACCAAGAGCGGTAACCCCGAGCTACACTCGGGCTTACCATGCGGTGTTGCACAGGGAGTCCGTGCAGCACTTACCTTGTCCTTCGCTCCTGCGATGTGTCCCCTGCAGCGTCCCCGGCCATCTCCTCCGGCCGATGCCGGCATCTGGCTTCTGTGTTCCGGTCCCTGTGACATCGGGACGTACGGGCGCCGGCGGCAAATTTGAAATTAAATGATTATTATGTAATAAAACATTGCTGTTTCAATGCATTTCACATACATTTTGTCCCTAGTGCTTTGTCCTGTCCCCTGTCTGCATTTTTACTGTTCTTTCTGCCTGGAAACTTAGAAATGTCCATGGCGTCCAAAAAGTGTCACTTTATGTCAAAAGCAGTTTTAGACCAGCTAGAGAACACCGATAGTAAATTAGAACCACTTGCAGAATTGAGTGATAATGATTTGTGGGGAAATTCGTCATCAGACACTGAAAACGATTTTGCGACTTTGCTCAGCGATGTGCGAATTTGCCTCTGTATTTCAAATTTCAGTGTTTTTGGTTTGATTATATTATTGAATTAAATGTATTAATTAATATATTATTATTTTTTATGATTATTTATTAAATTATAATTTATGATTTCGTGTTTCCAGTTTTATCATATCCGGAATGTTTACTAGACTCTTGTTCGGACAGATTTCAGTGAGTTATTCCTAAAAATTACAGCCTACAATAAAAAACTATATGTTTCCATGCAAAAAAATGGTACCGCTTTCAGCACAAAAAATCGGAAATAATCATACCGCCAAGGAGGTTAAGCAGCTCTCTGTCTTTAGGTTATAGTAGCAAACTAAATATAATTAATTAAAGATTTATATCTACTTTGCTGCAGCAAAGAAAAATCAGGTCTGCTGCCCTGTTAAGTTGGGCTGTGCTGTGTAACAGAGCTGGACTATATGGACAGAAATGCAAATCCTTGGACAAGCAAAATAGCTCTTATATACGTATTTCAAGGATGGATTTAGCTGTTTGCCTGGGGTTATGCTTTAACACACAATAGTTCTAACCCTTTTCAAACTATACCCAAAAGTAAAAACAAAAGAAAACAAAAAAAAAATTAAAAAATACATAAATTCTATCAAATGTTGTGAGTCTGTTTCTGTTACCATTCATTTCTTGGTCATGTTCACCTCATCTTAAGGTCATGCCACACAATATAGTTAGTACACACAGACACATAGCACATTAATTAATGTTTCTAATCTTCCATTCTGGCTGCATGCAGATACATAAGCACCTCAGGGATATTATTAAGGTGTAAAAAATGTAATGGCATGGAAGCACCTGGTTTAGGGTGTTGTCTGTTGATGTGCTGATGAGTTGTATAAGATATTGATTTCTGGGACTACGCTTTACATTGACAGCTTAACTGTCATCAGTCGAGATCTATGCTCCTACAGCTTGGTAACAAATTAAAGTGAATATTGCTGCATTGCCTAGTTGATTTACCATTCACACTTATTATGTGACAGACTCATTCGCTACATTGTTCAGTGGGACTATTAAACATACATATTGCAGTACAAGGCTCTAACTATCTACATCACAAACCTACACATGTAGTAATATTTCTGGATTATAGTCACATGAATAAAGAGAATTTTTTTGTAACCCTAAATTTTCTCCGAACACCTGTTTAATTTATCTGCAAGGTTACATGCTGTGGCTAATGCCTGGATTGTGGTGATTAGGTATAATGTATGAACATTGGAAAAATGTCGTAGGTCCTTTATGAACAATGGTTTAAATAATCTCAGATAAAAAATTTAAGAAAACTCCAAATTAACATTAAATGAATGTGTATGTAAAGCCAAAGTATGTTTGGATTGAATAGGAAAGAGTTTCACCTCCCTGTCAACTCCTTTTTGCTGTCTGAGCTCCGTGAGGTTCAGTAGATAGACCCTTGCATCCTAATGTGTCCTAATCACTGTCAAAAAGAAATAGAGTGATTGGAAATCCAAAATTTTACAGTTCCCAGAACAGGAGTTAAGGAGTAACTCCACTTTGTTGAGAAAAAAAAAACCTTAACCTCTGGGTGATCACTACATTGCAGAGATTTTTACAGACTTTGCTGCAGATCACTAATTTTGTGTTTCACCATATTATTATTATTAATATACAGGATTTATATAGCGCCAACATTTGCTTTATTGAGTTTGGGCAAGGACACAGGGGCCCCATGATCCCCTAGTTTGCCCCATGATCCCCTATTGCCCCATGAGTTGTCAGTCTACCCCTGGTTAGGAGGGCCCTGACCATATACTTCCCAGACTCAAAGTTAATAGGAGAGTTTGATTCATTATAATCACTGGGTGCACTATCAGTGTTCTAATGAGAAAAGCTGCAGGGTCTGCATCCTTCAGGAAGTTATTAACTCTTAGGGAGGGTCTCATCAAAATTGAAATTCCTATTGCAGGGAATGCCTAAAATCTGACTTGTTATCAGCAGGAAATGATATTTCTGTGGGATTCTACACACCAATAGTGCAAAGAACACCTCCAGATTCTCACATTGTATTACATTACAGGTAATGTAAAAAAGAAAGGTAATATCTAATAAACATCAAAGTACAGCATGGCTTGTGTAACAATTGTATAGCACAAAATGTATGTGAAATGGTTTGATACAGTAATGTTTCACTATGTGATTTTAGTGAATTTAGTGAATGTCACTTTTTGTCATTTTCAAGTTTCCCGGCAGTTCTGTTCCCGTACATCCTGATGTCGCAGGGGACAGAACCCAGAAGACAGATGCCGGCATCCGCTGGAGGACATTACAGGGGACACTGCAGGAGGGACATCGCGGGAGTGCAGGACAGGGTTAGAGAAGAACAGATCCCGGAGCAGCGCCGCATGGTAAGCCCGAGTGTAGCTCGGGGTTACCACTTGTTGTACTGAAACTTTACCACGAGCTACACTCGGGAATACCGCCAGGGAGACTACTATATGTTACGATCAGATGTAGTTGTATATATTTAATATGCATACAGTTGGACAATTGTAGGCTTTTTATGGTTTGTAGTAATAGGATCCTCCTGTGTCTGTCAGGATGAGTAGTGGCAAGTTTAATAGCATAGGACCACAAGAAAATGGCACCCGAGACCATGTGACGGTCTCCAGCAAAATGGCGCCGAGACAGGTGTAACACATGAGAATTAATGAATGGGAATAAAAGCATGGCTTGTCGTCCAATCGGCTACTCCTGATGAAGTCACATGTTGATGTAACGCATAGGGCACGCCTATGACGTCAAGCCATAACCAAAAGTGTACATATTGCCATCTTGGATAAGGGATTGTATGCTGTTTCATTCACAAAAGCACTGACAAAGAGTATTTGATCCTGTAGTGTCCCAGGAGGACACAAACGAATGTGAGTGAAAATCTTTAAGAGTTTTAATAAAGTACATTATGGTTTTGATATACTTCACTATCTGGAGCATTATTTCCATTTCTGTGGTGCATTTTGGAGTGTGGAGTTGGAGGAGGAGTTGGTGATTGTATGTGCCAGCATACCTACCTGGTCAAATTTTGGGCAGCACAGTGGCTAAATGGTTAGCACTTCCACCTGGCAGTACTAGGGTCGTTGGTTCGAAACCCAGCCACCGCACCTCCTGCCTGGAGTTTGCATGTTCTCCCTGTGCCTGCGTGGGTTTCCTCGGGATACTCCGGTTTCCTCCCACACTCCAAATACATGCTGGTAGGTGAATTGGATCCTGTCTAAATTGGCCCTAGTATGTGTAGGTATGAATGCAAGTTAGGGACATTAGATTGTACACCCCTTGAGGGTTAGGGACTGATGTGAATGTATAATATATATGTAAATTGCTGCATAAATTGACGGCGCTATATAAGTACCTGAAATAAATAAGGTGAGCGCATGAGTGTATCGGAGGTGGCTACAACAGTGGGGGTCGCATGAATACACTGGATGGTTATTTAAAGAGAAGCAATTGCACATGAGCACGTGGAGCACAAAGCCTTAAAGGGACAGTTCACAATATATAATTTTGTCAAATTGGGACACTGTTAATATGTTTATGCACAGTGAACAAGATTTGGTAAACGCATGATCAAAGTTATTTAAAGAGAAGCGATTACACATGAGCACGTGGAGCACAGAGCCTTAAAGGGGCAGTGCACAATATATAATTTTGTTGAATTGGAACACTTAATATGTAAGTGCACAGTGAAGAAGATTTGGAAAATGCAAGGTCAATAGGGGAATGTACATGGAATTAAGTGCGTTTATGTTATATAAGGAGATATGTTGGAAGCACTGATTATGCACTGTATGATAATTTAGTACTGTCACACAGCAAGGTGTATGTACATTTTGATGATTGGATTATATAATATTGCGCTGTATATATTTTATATTATAATTGATGTGGGAACACTATACATGTTAGCTGCAATAACATAATATAAACTTTTGTTTTTTTGGTAGTGGATAAGCATATTGAGCTGTAAGTTTTCCACATTTATAATCTCAGCACGTTTGTTTACAAACGGTACACAAATATGCGGCATCAATGCCCAGCTGCTGAGAGGCTGCATATTTGCGTATGCTCGGCATGAAGAGGTTAATAAAGCAGCAACTACAATGTATCATTTTCAGTTAAGCAATAACCCAGTAATACCAATGGTAAAGTGTATCCAACTAAAGATCACTCATAAGAGTATTTATTTTATTTATTTCAGATACTTATATAGCGCCATCAATTTACACAGCGCTTTACATATATATTGGGCATTCACATCAGTCCCTAACCCTCAAGGGGTGTACAATCTGAGGTCCCTAACTCACATTCATACATACACATACTAGGGCCAATTTAGACAGGATCCAATTAACCTACCAGCAAGTCTTTAGAGTGTGGGCCAGGGGCGGACTGACAACTCATGGGGCCCCTGGGCAATAGGGGATCATGGGGCCCCTGTGTCCTTGCCCAAACTCAAAAAAGCCTATGAAAAAGGTACCAGTGGCATCTCATGGGGCACCCTACTTACCCCGGGCCCTCGGGCAGTGCCCGAGTTTCCAAATGGTCAGTCCGCACCTGGTGTGGGTGGAAACCGGAGTGCCTGGAGGAAAACCCACGCAGGCACAGGGAGAACATGCAAACTCCAGGCAGGTTGTGCCTTGGTTGTGATAGCTTATAAACCTGCATGGCTTTATTAATCTATATTATGATTTTTAATTTTAAATAAATGAATGGAGTTACATATTTAAGGAAA